CGCTGCGGCCCACCCCCCCACAGCATCTGGTGCGGAGATCAGGCAAGAGCTCCAGGAGCCACTGGAGGAGTCCCATGCCCGGCTGCTCCCAGCAGCCCTCCCGGGTCTCGAGGGCGCCCCGCTGCCGCGCCTCGGAGCCACTAGGCTGGGTTCCCATCACAGAACGCACGGCTGGTCCGAGGAGCGGGCGTCAGAGGGAGACCGACCAGGCCAGCCTTGTGGGGCCACTCCCGTCGAGCCGCGCCCCACAGCTCAGGCTGCAGGCCCGACGGTGCACTCGCTCCACTGGAGGCACAAGGCCCTGCTGTGGGCACACGCGAGGGCAGGAGAAAGCTGCGTGTCCTGGCTCACATGCACATGCTGCATGGTGCACGGACTGCTGTGGAGAGTGGCAGGGAACAGAGAAAGCACCAGTTTCCACCACTGCCAATGGCTTCAGGAGCTCACGGGCCGGGAAGAGGGCGACCGCGGTGCCCTGGGAGGAGGGCGGTGCCTAGCGAAGTTGCACGCGGCTCTCTTACTGCACAACCACGTCGGCCCACTTCCCGCACAGGCAGCCAGACCCCGCACAGCGCCCTGGGGCTCTTGGAAGGGCGGGCCGCACCGAGCAATGGCTTCCCAAGACTAGGCAGCAGGGTGGGGGCAGCCACACACAACGGCCCCCCACTGCTCAGAGGGACGGGCACTCGCTCAGACGGCCTGGCAGCGCCCGAGAGAAGCCACGCACGCCGTGTCCCTCCAAGGACCACTGGGGCCAGCACACGGCGCTGCCATGGGCGGGGAGGCTGGGCCTCCAGTGCGTCTCTTCCTCCCGCCCGGTTCTCTGGCTCCCAGCCTTTGGCGACCAGCCACGGCAAGACCTTTCCACTGCCACCATTAACCGGCTGGTAGGATAGGCTCGTCCCTCACGGAACCCTGTCCAGATAGCACACGTCTGAGAAGTCACCTCGAGCACGAACGTGCAGAGAGGCCCGCCGTGGGCTCCGAGTGATGGCCGGGCTCGAAGGGGTCTCAGCAGCCAGCCACACAGGACAG